AAGCGTGAGTGGGATTCTCGCTCATGGGATCTGTATGACTACCCGTTGTTGCAGAGCACGACCAAGCATTCATGGGCTGTGAAGACTGCAATGCAACTAGAAAAATCACGATACGTTATCTCTGCCTTGCTAACTGGTCGAAAGAACGCCATGTCTAAAGATGCTTCTTTATTCGATAAATGTAAATTAACCAATGCGAAACTTTATTTAAATTTAAAATTTTATCCGTACGACGACATAAGTCTAGACTTTGATAAAAACAGATACGCCATCCTGTTTGATATGTATGCTCGTTTTCGTAAAATTTATTACGGATGCACAAACGATGAAATGTTGTTAACCGTAGGTACATTTTTGGAGAATGGACCTTTCAAATTCATTGACTGCACGCGACAAAACGAGTCCGTCGAGAGCGCTACCGTGGATGTGCGAATAGAATTATAAACTACAAAGAAAATGTGCCGGAAAATACTACAGCCTATTGTCTCATCTTACACGATCGCGTGATTGAATATTGCCCATTATCCAATGTTGTGCGTAAAATCACATAAATTGTCACGTCTGCAAATATTCTCATCTTCGCATATAAAAACTGCAACATTTCGCAAGGGGGACACAGTTTCGATAGATTACTCGTCATGATTCTACGTACGTTTGTAGATCTGCAAGGATTCACCGTTGGGAAGAGATTTATCGCTAAAGAAGTGGCGGTCCTGAGAAGAGGTACAGTTCTGTCGCATTACATTTTTGCAAGTCCCATGCCATGGAATTTCTTTAACAATTCTTCATTTTTTAACAAATTTCGACAAGTCTGGCGCTTCTTGGTTGATTGCTTATCACCATGGATTGAGATGGGAAGACGGGATGATTCTGTACAGCATGGCGAAACGCCTGATTGCAACAGCTGTATTTGATGAAGAGGATGATACCGACGACGCTATCGTGTACGTTATAAGATATCAAAAACGAGAATGGCTCGGTGATATGCTCGATGCGAGAGACGGCGTAGTCATTGAAATTCTGGATGCCGATTACGAAGATGTAGTTTCTTTGAATAATCTAAGTGTTATTAATACTATGCGCTGTGGAAAACATGTTAAGAATTGCACATTACAATGGCACTACTACATATCGAGATGTGTGTGTGAGACACGTTCGTCTTTGACGCGGATAAAATTTCTACCTGGCGATGGTCACGAACGAATAAGATATCTATGCAGTTAGGAACGGTAGACAAATCAGTGGGATTTATAAAATAGGTGTATCGGTTCGATAGGCGGTCCGATTGATCAGACAGGCAGTTTGACAGGCGGTTCGACAAAACAGGTGTATCGGTTCGACAGATCAGCAGTATCGGTTCAATAGGCGGTTCAGTGGTATCGGTTTGATAGGCGGTTTGATGATGGTTTCATCCTATGTGGCTTCATGACATTACATTGAGAATGCTGACACGGTCATTTTTTATCTTGACTCGTATAAAATATCTAACTAATGAAGATCGCGAAAGAATATAATTTTCTTTATAGTTAAAATAATAGAGAATTTGATAGAACAGACAGGCAGATCGACAGAACAGGTGTATCGGTTGAACAGATCAGCTGTATCGGTTCGACGGATCAGCGGTATCGGTTGAACAGATCAGCTGTATCGGTTTAACAGAACAGCGTGTTGTAAATCTCGCTATGCGCTACTTACAATGTAACACTTAGTGATAAGCAGGTCACTGTTGTAATCTAATATTGCAACGGTGACCCATAATAATTGAGAACGCCGACGCAGGACTTCGGCAATCTCAATGTGCGTCCTCCAAAAACTGCGGCAGTTGCAATTAAGCAACAATTGCAACTGCTGAGCAGTGCAGTGGCCACTTGAGACGGGATAAACCCGCCGTCCAGCGGACCACTGCGAAGTTCACTTCTAATCATTAACGTATAACAGTACGCTGTCGGAACGCGCAGTGATCAAGTTGTAAGTTAGCACGTAAAATAAAGTCATTGTGTTAAACGGTGTAACTGTGCATCACTTCAACCTCCGCCACTACGAGTCCTTCCACGTTACACCCCTGCCACGGTGTAACATTGGTGTCAGAAGTGGGATTGCAGGAGCGATCCCAGGGAAGAGACTCACGAAGCCGACAAACGGAAAATCTGTAAGTCTAAAAACAAATATTATTAAAATTCAGTCTACTGGCACGACCATAGACAAATTCATAATCAGCGCGACATATATTGCCGCTGAGCCGCCGTATACGCCGATTGAATGCAAGCCGCAGCATAATAAAAGCCGGCATTGCGAAAGGCGAGAAAAAAACGGACGGAGATAAGACGCGCAATCGAAGAATTGCACGAACTCCCGCGTCGCACAAAAAAATATATCTTGGA